CGTCCCTAACTGAGCTTACTAAAGCTGTCACTAATCTGAAACAAGGCAAAGTAGCGGGACCTGATGGAATGACTCCAGAGGTATTTAAGTACGGCGAAGACAGTTTACTGTCTGCATTAACTGAGGTTCTAGGCAGCGTCTGGGAATCAGAGGAAGTCCCATCGGGTTGGTGTAAGTCACTGATTATACCCATATACAAGAAAGGAGACAAGTCTTCTTGTGATAATCACAGGGAGATTAGCTTGACTAATATAGTATCTAAAGTCCTAGGCTCAATAATCATGCGTAGACTAAACGGTACTCGGGAGGAACAAACACGAGAGAATCAGGCAGGCTTTAGACCAGGAAGAAGGTGTCTTGATCATATCTTCACCCTTCGACAGATTCTGGAACATAGGCGTCCAACAATCGTTATATTGCTTGACTTAAAGGCGGCATTCCATTCTGTCGACCAAGAGGTTCTCTGGCGATTCTTGGCTGTAAAGGGAATCCCGAGAAAATACATTGCACTGATCAAGGCACTCTACTCGAACTCATGCAGCCAGGTGAGGGCCTACAGCGAGTTGTCATCTGAAGTGGTGACAACTATTGGTATCCGTCGGGGATGCCCACTATCCCCATTCCTACTCAATTCATCATAGATGTACTGATGGAATTAACCCTAACTTACTTCAGAGACTCAGGGATTGACTTGTTACCATCAGGGAATAATCTCGTTGATATATTCCTTCTAGGTGAAGACGCTGACAAAATGAAGAGTCTTCTGAACACCTTGAGCTGAGCAGCAAGCAATCTGCGAATGTTTGGCATGCGATTCACTCCCACGAAATGTAAGATGATGCTACGGAACTGGACTACATTGACTCCTAGCTTACAAATATGGAGTGAAGTGGTAGAGCACGTTGACCGTTTCACTTATTTGGGAGGTACCATCAGCCAGTGCCAACGGGTTGATCTCTGACGAAATCTCAGCACGGATACAGGAGGCTAGTTTCGAATATGCCAGTTTACGTCGTCTCTGGCGTAGACGTGATATCCGGCTATCGACCAAAGGACGTGCATACTGCTCAGCAGTCCTCTCCTTCCTCCTTTGTGGCTATGAGAACTGGCCATTGAGAGTAGAAGACATGAAAAGGCCGGCTAGCTATCTTTGATCATATTTGCCTATATCCTATCTCCTATGTTAGGTGGTATAATAGGGTGAGCAATATTGAGATTAGGCGTCGAGTGCTAGGTAAGGAGGGGAAATCAATCGATGAGGCTGTGAAACTACATCGAATGAGATGGTTAGGATGTGTGTTACGCATGCCTAGCCATCGTCTTCCTCGATGGACTGACATACGGTCAGGTTGAAGAAGAGCCAGTGGTGGTCAAACCAAAACATGGCATCAGTCAATGAAATCTACAACATTTAGTCTAAGCCACGTAGGAAGATGTAGACTTCCTGGTTGGGGTCCTCGGGACGGTAAATACCAAAATTGTTGGAAACAATTGATGATATGGCTCAAAATCGTTCTCAATGGAGCAGATGCATCCATTCCTTGTGACTTAGATTCCCAATAAAATTATGTTGTTCTTCGATATTACTATTCTTTTTGCCTGATATCCCTGTTTACTGTCTCTATTTTGCATTTTTTTCACTTTCTTTTCTTGCTTTTTGTGATGAGTGAAGTGTCACGACTCGAACTGCTGTACATCGGTTGAAAGTTCTATTTTGAAATCAGTCAATCAGTCAGTTTCTATTCTAGCTTTACGGGGGCGTGGCAGCTTGAACTGTTGGACTTTCATGCAAAGTTCTACGTTGGAAATCCGGTTTAGTTCTTTTTTCGTTCAGTCAAATACTTAATAGTAAAATATGAAATGCATTATAAGCTTTACTACTGTTACTAGAAATGACAAATAAGAACAGTTAATAACAATCCTGTCATATTATTTTTCTGGTCGTTTTTATTGTTATTCGATAAAATCAGATGCAATATTGAACCAAATGCTGAAAACTGCACATTTTACTGTTAGTGCTCTTTTGGAATAAAGCAAACTATTCATATCATTATGACTACACGAATTTCAGACACCAAAAATGCTCCTCTGCTACCTCCCTCACTTAGCCACAAGAAAATATTGTCTGATACAAATTTATAACTATCGTAGAAACGAGAAGCCTTCCAAAAAATAATCAAGTGCTACGGTTCAATAGTACGATTTTTAAGTAACACTTAATCCGTACTCGTGGTCTTAGTTCACGTCGTTACAACTACTAGTCGTAAATACGAAGTCTTAAATTACAACGGAGTGGTTATGCTCGGTGCATGCCACCGATGTTACTCAAATAAGAATTTTCAACATCATGACGAAATTATAGGCGTTTTGAATGCAAGCAGTCTACTTGCTATCAACAGTAATTTTGCATTCTAACACCAAAGACTCCAAGATCATAAGTGAGAAACATTTGTAATGCACAAACGATTAATAAACCTCATAAAAACCAAATAACTTGTAGCCATAACGTTTTTAATGTGGACGGCGCGTGGATGTGACTCAGCTTTAGTACTTGGTTTTTGACATGTGCTATAAAGATGCAGACTCACAGGAAGCGGCCATAGATTGAAATCAACATTTTAGGACAATCGCTGATGGGGTAGAAGTGTTTAGTCCTCAAACCTGGATTTAATTAACATTGGGTCTTGAAATAATCTCGCTGGACAATTTCCGTCCGTTTGCTTGACCTCGGGCCAATCGCCAACCAATCAGGACCGCTGACCTAACCAGCTTTAAAGGTGGTTAAAAATGCAAAGATATGACGTGTTTTCCTTAATAAGTCCGTTACCAATTTTCTTACCTCCTATAGTTACAGGCTTTCAACCAGTAGGTTGTGTCCGAGTCCTGTTCTACACGCTTTAGCCTTGGTGACTGGGTAATATCGTCATCCCTCACACAATAACTGTGACATATCGACTGGTATAGGAAAAACTTATTTCGGTAAATGAGTTGTAAATACCCAGTGTACTTTGTACAGCTGCTCTTTGGTAGTTACACAAACAGGTTCAAAATATTTATGGTGTTTTAAGACACTTTTTGGAAGTTTAAAATAAGGCAAGGCGGATGATTGATAAGTTTTTCACCGAACGAGTGTATGTAGCGATTACGCAGGTATAAAACATCTAATCAAAAATAAACGTCGCGTAAACAATTTACAATCTCACACTTAACTCATAAAGTCATTCTTTTCTTAGTGAAATCAGCGTTACTGAAGAAAATATGAATAGTTACTGTCACAGTGTGACAGGAAATAAACCTAATCTGTGCAGTCAGTCAGCAGCAAAAATTGTATTTCCAGTAGTAAAAAAGACATGATATTTAACTTTTATTCATCAAGAAAAAATGATGGAATTCTTGGTCAGAAAGCAACATGAAACTAAGTGGTTCCTTGTTTGTACAACTCCAACAGCATTAATGTCAAAGTAGTAACGTTGCAACTCTTCTCTATTTATAAAAGTCTGCAGTATCACCAAATATTACAAAATAGGTGTGACTCATTGCAAAGTGCGTATGCATTCGTGCGGTTGTGAAGTAATTTTCTTCTAAACATAACTGCTAAAGTTAGACAGAGAACTTTTGTTAAAGTAAAACCATATAATGATTGTTACACCTAAGTCAATTAACGTTTTCAAAGTAGGTTATTAGCAATCAGATTTAAAGTCTGCAAAAATAGTAGGAAAAGTTGTAATCTAAGTAAGGATAGATTATTTCTAGCCCTACAACTATTCCAGTTGGTTAGTGAATGCAATAAATTCACGGGTAGGAAGCTAAGATTCAGTTTTGATGAGTCAGTCGCCTTAGTGAGAATCCACGAGCTGTTTTGTTGTAAAATGAGTATTTTATCCTTATTCTTATTTATTTTGTAGTCATTAATATCAGAAATGCGGGTTTCACTGTTCTTTGCCTGTTTTTCACAACTTCTACTAGCACTGGCGATTTTACGCGATGCACATTAGACCAACTCAGTAAACGACGGTTGGAATAAGTTACTTAGTTTCCATTGTATAAGTACGCTTTTCACTTCACGAATAATCAGGACAGAACCCAAAGAAAACCTAAAGTTACTTTCTACACAAATTATAAATGGTGAATTAGAAATTGGGTTGTTAATCAAAGTCCCAATATCTCATAATGAAACAAATTGTTTGGGCCCCCTAGCTAACTTAATCATAATCACGAGTCATGTGTTCGCAATTAGTGAATAAAAATACGCCTGCTAATACAAGTGAATATCTACGCAAAAGTATTTACAGACAAAAACGAAGAATGCGTAATAGACTAAATGAATGAAGCACAACTTTCTGATCAATATTTTGTGGGAAAGTGATAAGTGTCAAAAACCAGTAAAAAAAACGTTTCTCTACTAAATAGACACAGATATCAAGAACGCCAGAGTTCGATGGACAAATAGATAAACTGATCACATTGGACTAGAAAACCTATTATTCCATCCTAATTTCCAGAAAGAGCGAAGTATTTAGGACTACTGTACACATATATACGATTTATTTAAAAAATCACATCACCTTCCATAGCTACCAAAGTATTGCAGATAGATAGATAAGACTGTACATAGTCTAACAAACAACAACCAGTTACGAAACCCTAAATAAAGCATTCAGAAAATAAACGTCGCAAGAAGAAACCATTTCTCCACAACTACATTGCAATCAGCATGGTTGACAACAATAAATATGCTTCACAAATAATTAATTACGTGAAATAAAAGGATATACTGATAACCTACTAAAATATGATTGGTCATTGATGTCCTTTAACTTCATATGATTAATTACTTGTCAAGCATTTTAATCGTCAACCAACGCGATTGTAGCAAAAGTGCGAAATGATATCATCACACAATAATTGTCCTGTGTACTTTATTTAAATATCAGAGGGACTAAACGTTCCAATTATGAAACCACGAGTCAAGTCGGTCATTTCTTAAATTGTAAACTAACCTGACTATTGAGAAGCTGGGAACCTCCAAGATCAAGAGACGTCAAGTTTGATGGCAAAAAAGACAACAACTGCGGTTCTTCACTAGAAACATTTTTCAATTCATGTCTAGGTGTCACGTCAATACACGACGGATTAAGTACATTAGTAAAACATGGAGGCGCAAGCGTTGAAGAACGTCTTCTAAACACAGATGCTAATGTAGAGTGAGCAGTTAATAGCTTTGGATGCTGTTCAGAAAGGGAAATAAGATCATTCACAGCAGAATTCCCGAGTAACGAACGTTGACATTCACGAAATTCAGAACCAGATGAATTGCTTATTGTTGTGCAAGTAGATGAAGCAGCTAAAGCCAAAGATAACACTGCTGCTTGGAAATTAGATGCGCTGGAATTAACTGACGGTGAACGTGGACTGGCGATAGCCTGTGCCGCAACCAAAGCAGCTTGTTGTGCAGCTGCTGAAATCACAGATGAAGATAAAGGTGATGGCTGAGGTGATTCTAAAAGGCTTGATGTTGAACAACGTCTACCAGAAAGTGTAACATGATTGGGTGATTCATTAGCAGAACCACCTGTTGCCGCTTGTATTAGGAGAGCAGCAGCCGCTGCAGCAGACATGGCAGACGGATTATTTGTCCCGTAAGGTGGCACTCCAGCAGCCATCCCCAGTGTACCCAAGTTTCCACGACCACTGTTATGTGAAACTTCATGGGTCGATTCTATTTGAACTTGATCCCCAAAGAGGCCATCAGGAACACTCGGCTGATCAGGATTAAGAGACATGCGCGCTGTACATGAAACTGAATGGAGTTACGGGAAGAGAACATGGGGAAAAAATCGCTGATAAAGTTTTGAAGAAAAACAACTCACGTTTATTACATAAAACGACTAAGAACCCAATTGAGTCAACGTTTGAATTCACTCTAATCTAAGATTTGAATGTGGTGGACGAAGCATAAATTTAATTAAGGACAACCAGTGAGACAGCTGGTGTGATCATCAAAAACAGGTGAATTAAAAAATCCTAATATGGCCAGGATTTCGAATAAATGACTGCACTCTAGGCATAGTATTTTCAAGCGCTGAAAATCTTTATACACTAAACAATCTAACTTAAAACCTATAAGTAGTGGAAAATCGCGTAAGTCAATACGCTTAATGTCAGACCTAAGTGCTCAACGATAAGATCATTTTAGGAGTGTTTATACCAACGGACATATACTTTCTGTCCCAATATTTGACGAATAAACAAACTCCCCAGGAGTATCTGTTCGATCATAAAAAGTGCTATAATACGTTGGGGTAACTGTTAGAGTATCCTTTCAAAGGTCAAAAACCTGTTTTTGGTTGACTAGCACCTGACATAAGCGGCATAACTGATTGTATATAATTATTTTCGAAAGGGAAATTCGTCAATCTTATAATCCAGAATGGTTGTTATTGGAATAAATGATAAGTAACAAATATATTCAGCATGTCTATTCTAAGGATGATAACCAAAAGCGTTTGGCCGCTCGAGAAATAGTACTTAATTAGCCATAAACAAATAGCCACACTTAATAAAATCGATAACCTCCGTAATATGGAAACGAAGTAACATAGGCATCAATTTACTGACTTCAAAAACTACGAGTATGTGAGTATATTCCGCATATTGATGCAGAGTATGCTCATTATCAGGGATATACAATTACCGGTTGAAGCTGAGCAATAATAAGCAAGTAGGTTGATACAAACAAGACGAAAGTTTCATTTAAGTGTTGAATTTCAGACTCACCTATTGGGTTTTGTAGTCATTAATGAACAAACTGAGTAAAACAGCTAAAAGTAGAAGATTGAGATAATCCATTCAATAGGAAACATATCTGAAGGGTGCATTTATCTTTGCACAAAAGCTGAAATAAATATATCAAATGTGATTAATAGGAAATAGATACCTTCTTGCTAAACGCAGCGAGGAATAATCAGTGAGACCGATGGAAAATACAAATATTTCATGTTTCTGACTGGTATAAGCGGAGTTATATAATGAAACTTTAATTTTGTCTTGTGATTTCAGTGGACCGAATTGCCCATTCCTTTTTGGTACACCAGAAGTTACTAAAGGTGTTTCAATGACGCCTTGAGGCAAACTTGATCTTATCCTAGCAGAGACCGAGCTTTACGGTTCAGTAAAAACAAACAGGGAATCCAAAATGTCCTAATAAGTAAGAAGTGATATCAGTTGCACAAGTGCGTCCAAATAAAAAACCTTCATATGCATAATATGAGGATTCAGTTATCTCAACCATATTGACACCGATGCTAATATTTCTTCATATTTTGCCGACTGTAAAAGCAACACAATGAGTTATAAACACGAATGTCAGTAAGATTTCGAAACTTTACAATAAATAATGGCTAAATGGAAGCTGAGTCTAGTTGTCTTCAAGCAGGCTAACTAAATGAAGCAAACCCATTGCCAATTACGAGTCCTCCCTAAGTACGGTTAAGTCGTATGTGGTGGACAATAGCATCTACATTTACACTGCAAACGAATGCAACTTAATAGTTACTTTTAATAGGTTATTTTGATCCTACTGACCAAATAAGCCCTATTAAATTATACCCTCATCGGTGGTTCAGTGGTAGAGGTCTCATAAATCACACATGTGTTCTGGGTTTGATTCCCGCTCGACATACTCCTAGACGTCGCTTAGCTGGTAGTAAATCCGGTAAAAAGGGAAGGTTAGGAGTGAAGCTAGCAACCCTAACGCATAAAACAAAATCACCATCGCTACTGAAATGTTAAAGCTCAAGTTTGAAACCCTTTGTTCCACTAGGAACGCAATGGAATGAAAATGTCGGAAGTGCAACGATTCGTAAGCTGCGTCCCTATATTAAGGAGTCACTAACGTTTAAAAATATCAACAGGCTTTAACATAATTTTCCGTAGTTGATTTGTAAGGGTTAGTTTTGTTTTTACGACTTTGGAAGTTATGGAAAGACTTACTTTACTTAATCTTGAACCCTCTTTAAAGCCTTTCAATGACCCCAACCAGTTTGCCTATAAACATAATAGGTGTACGTTAGTTGCCGCTGTTGTCCTACACCATAGCATAGTCTCTAGTTTAGATAAAGGAGCTAAATACGTTCGCTGTGCCTTCCTTGACTACACATCTGCATTTGACTCTGTTCCTAGGTCTCTCTTTCTAAGTAAGCTTGCTGCAACACAGGCTGAGAGCTGGACAAATAAGTGGCTACATTCCTATTTTTCTGATAGGAAGCAGTACACCGTCTACAATGGAAAGTCCTCCACTACCTCACTTACTTTAGCTGGTGTTCCTCAAGGTGCTATTCTTTCTCCTTTTCCGTTTTCTTTTTTCTTACATGACTTGCCTCATTCTGATGTAGCCACTTTTGTTAAGCATGCTGGTGACCTCTCTGTTTCTATGCCTGTCAACTCTCAGTCAGATTGTTCCAAATTAAATTTCTGTCGGAAATTAGTCAGTGCTCCTCTTCAAACGGTAGTAAGCTAAATCCGTCTAAATGTCAGGTAGTCAATTTCACTTTCAGACGTAAACGTGACCCACAACAACTAGTTAGCTCACATGGCCCCAATATCATTGACGGCATAGAGGTTGAAAATACATCCAATGTCAAGTACCTTGGGCTGAGTTTTTCCACCGATCTTTCCTGGTCTTCCCACATCTTGCTAGTTACTAGAAACACAGTTTTTTTTTCAGCGAAGACTAGTTACTAGAAAGATGTTTCGCTTAACGTTCTACATTAGGAAATTTAGGCAGTCTGGCATAAAGCAGTCTTTGCTTTCTCAGTTTGTCAATTCTTGTATTCTACCCATCCCCCTTTACTGTTCCCCATTAATCTTTCCTGGACTACTTAAGAAAGACTTTGCTTTGCTGAGAAGGGCACTAAAAACCGTTAGTAGGGCAATCGGGATATCGTTAAACCAACTGGTTAACACTATTGTGGATAGACATATAGTGTCATGTAAGAAACTAGCGAATACAATATTATCGGACCCCGAGCATCCTCTCTAAACACAGCTCTCTCCTTGCATTTCATCTGGTAGAACTGTCTGTCTGTCTGAAGCAGCTATACGAGGCTATATGCTAGGACTACCAAATACAAAAACTCCACAATACCATATCTGGCACAGCTGTTATGTGATGAGAAATCCGTTAGGTATGACACGATCAACTTACTGCGGCACTCTAACAAATAGTCCCATTAGTTTTTGTTTTCCTTTCCTCGTTACTATTACACTGTTGTTCTTATCTTCTATTGTACACCAATTTTATACTTCATATCCTGTGGTGCATTGTTCAGAATGTAAACGCAACGCTATTTTCTTTTTATTTATCTTTTTTGGGTGTTGCTTTTTGATTTTAAAATCTTATAAAATGTATGAGGTAATTAGATGCAATATATTGTAATGCACGCTGAAAATTCTATAACTGTACCACAAATACTGTTTGGAATAAAGCTGTTATTATTATTACCACGGATTGATATCATTTAGAGAACCATTGCTTTGGATCTAAGAACGTAAACTTATGAAGTTAAAAGAATGACATACAGACCAAGCAACCCAAATGCAGGTGTTACCAGTTAGAAATAAGTAAAACAAAACTGAAAATCTTAATCGGGACATTTGAATTACATGACATATCAACCAGTGAATGAAAAGCACATGTAATCGCCAATTTTCAAAATTACTCAAATATGAACTGAATATGATGAGTGGTATACCACAAGAAACTCGGCACAGAATAAGTCTTTATCCATATCTGAAATTATTGGCGCATATTTGCAACAATTTCAAGAAACAGTGGAAGAGTTTTACACATACAGACTTAACCAAGTTGGAGTATGACCAACTGATTGACTAACGGACTGATAAAGAAAAACGCGACCGCTCGTTGCAATACGTCGAAAAGCATACAAAAGGAACGCAATGCTACTACGATGAAAAAACGTCAATCACTTTTTATGCATTAAGTAGGGATTTAAAGACGTAGTTCATTGGCTTTCACATTTGAATTCCGGTCTACTGGTTAGAATCATGAACCATTATGTAGTCAGTGAGACTGATGAAGCAACGTAGGATAATTATGTAAAGGTTAGTAAAGTTTTCCGTAACCTAACGGACGACAAGGAGTAGAGTCTTCATTACTGTCAACAACTTCAAGCCATGTCACCGAGTATCCAACCACTGGTTCTTAGCACCCTGACAATCTTTTTTTAATAATAATGATTTACTTTATTCCAATCCCAACTAGAAGACCCATATCCATTTAAATATCCCAGATCGACAGTTAATCACTTCATGGATTGATGTTATATTTTGGCATGCTCACTCCTAAACCTCTTCTAAACAAATTCTACCTCAGCTAAGGTGGAGTATCACAGAAGGTGGTCAATTTAGCTCTACAATTTCAGTAACGGTTCTACTTTTCTTATCCAACGAAATGAAATGTTACTCAACAACTACTTGTATTTCTATGGAGTTGGCAATGAGGCACATATTTTGAGGGGTAGTGATACTGCCTGGTTACCCAAACTTTGTAGGTGGAGCGGGATTCGAACAGCTATAATGAGGGGCTTCTGATTTTACTGGCCGTCTCAGCCGTAAAAAAGGCTACTGAATCGCTACACCTGCTCCGAAGACGCCGCAAGTTGGTAAGTGTCAAAGGTGGCTTCGGTAAAGATGTTGAGATTTCTCCAACGACCAATTCATCAGGACCAATGCAAGTTACTAGAAAAGTGAAGCGACCATCAAATATGATCACCTCACTCCCCACCGTTAAATTGATTGTTGGTGCAGGCGAATCACATAGCACCATCCTATCTTTGACGAAGATGAACTGTGTGTTCGAAATAATCAGGACGTTTGAAAAGCTTTATATCTTGCCAGTTATTAAAAGGACTATATCCTCTAGATAATGAATAAGACCTTTACACTGCAACAAGTTGATTCCTTTGATACTAACCAAACACACACACACCTGCAACACTAAATAAGTGAAACTGGCAATAGTTGCCGTTTCGCTAAATACACTCAGATCTACATTTGAACTGTTGGGAAGACTGAGCTTTTTAAGCATCTTCACCAAACAGGACAACGCCATCTACGTTTTCTATATCGATGACCTTTCCCTGACAATAAGTCAATCCCTCAAACATAGTTGACTAGAATAACGTGCACGGGGGCGATACTGGGAATCCCTAATGGATACCACCGGTTATCACTTCAGACAACAGCTTCCCGTAAGCTTTCACATAACTATGAGTGCGTGTAGTGCCTTGGTTAGCAAAACAATTTCTCAGCGCGATCCTCATGGACAGACATCAATACCATCTCTTGACTGACTGAGTCGGGTGCCGTCTTTAGGTCAAGATATGAAAATGAAATGTTACTCAACCACTTGCAATCCTCAGCAGTTGAAAATGAGCCACATCTGTTGTGTGTGAGGGTTAGCGATATTACCTGGCTGCCCAAACCTCGGTAAATAAGTAAGGACTCGAACGCGTGACCCACTGGTTGGTTGCCTATGCTTATATGGCAAATGGCTGTTGGTGGTATTTATCTGTTTTGAAACCTGTCGAAGGGTGAAGATTCCATCCATACATCCCTCTCCAGGACCAAAACCTGCCTGGTTTTCTCGGATTGTTTTTCCTGAACTCCGCTTGATCTTCGTATTATAAGCCGTAGTATCTTAAATACTATGTGAATCCTGCTGATCGTCCTATACCTATCAAACCGATGTTTCCCATCTTTTGTAAATCAGTTTGATTAATTACACCAGTCTGGAGAGCTGCCTTGGGTCCCCTCATGCTAATTAGTATCTTAACTAATCTAAACAGTACTTCATCAGGATTATTCAAAAACATCACCGGAGTTATACCACTGAGACTTGCTGCTTCATTTCATAATGAAATGGGTCTTTAATACTTCAGTTTCAAACCACTCTTAAAACCAGGAACCAAATTTACACAATACGTTGAATGCAGCATTTAACACAGGACACATTTCACAATTCAATGGTGAGAAAGGCAAGCATAACAAAAAAATACAAGCTGACATAAATCACGTGTACAATCACCACACGTAACAGCATTTTCTCCTTTAAACAGTAGTAATTAATCTAGCTACTTATGAACACCAGGTGTTTCGCATTCCTCTAGCATTCATGTGAATGAGACCTAAAATACTACGTGTTGGACACAGTAAGTACCAAGTTTAGATCCTAAGTCAACACCCAGGTACTAACGACTTCCTCATATGATTACGTCTTATATGCCTCAGCATGATGAAACATACCCACTGAAGAATGATGTCACTAACTATTGGCGAGACAATTTGATACCTACAAGTTACTGCTGCTAAAAAACCATGTTGAGATATTACAAACATGAATTACAGCTGAGAAGCATTTTTTACACTATAATTGAACAAAAACGCAACAATTTTATTCCAACAAGAAAAAACATACTCTAAGAAAATAACACCAACCACAAAACAGTCTGTCCGAGTAAATTTAAGAGAAGCGTTTCGCAGACCGACTGCTGTTTTAAACAATGAGAAGCAACAAAATATGCAAGCTTTTGAAAGCTCTGACTCTTATTTAAGATTAAAAGTTTCATAGGCTTTACATAATATGCATGTTATATATGTTAGGTATCCGGATAATTAGAATGGGGTTGACTTCTTACAGGTGTATGTGACAGATGATATCATAGCCATATTCGGAAAGACAAGGTACACCTTTACCACCCTTCATTTAGTTTGGAAATCTTCTGCACTCATTATATGGAACGAGATCCAGATTTTAAACGCCAACGGTAAGCCAATGCTCTTAAATGGGTCAGAATTCTGACGCATCACGTAAAGCATTTCTAGCATCTTCATCACCAGCTGTCTTTTCTTCCTCTATAATGAGAAGCGAATGGCCAGAAATAATTACCGACAAGAAAATCTGGAAACAAACCAACCAAGAAATTTTCTTTCAACAAATATCTTGAAGAAAATTGAGATCAGGCATACGCCGAGAAGACTACCTTAATGATATTGCGCACCTGGCCCTCGACTGGAAGGTGAGTGAGAAACGATTATTGGGACGTCCTAGGACGACATAGAGGATATCGTGCGAAGGGGAGACCAGAGACTGTGGGCAATTACAAGTCCAGCTAAAGAGTATCGTAGAAAACAGGACGGGGTGGAGATGTGCTGGTGAAGTTCTGTGTTCCACTTAGAACCCAAACGAACAATAATGACGATACTTACATGTGTGGTAAATTCAAAAAATCAGCCACCAATATCTTTTCAGTATGCATCACTGGACAAAAGATTCAGTATTTTCGCGGCGACTCTCTGTACATCGTCCTATTTCACGGAGAGGCAGAAAACTGAAGTAAAATAATGACCGTGGATTAATAAGAAGAGCGGGATAGAGAAGATATGGGGTGTTGCAAAAGTTCAAAGGTTCGGTTTATTTTGCGGTGTGTGAGGGCTAGACCTCACTTGGGTCTATGATAGTCAGTCCGA